CATGTGTGTTAGTAAATTCAGTGTGCGTGTGTGTTTACAGCCCAGTCTGGTGAATCAGATGATAACAGCTGCTGAAGAGAGACCCTGGCTCTGGATCGTCTACGTCTTGACTGTGGCTCTGCCTCTGGTGCTCATCATTGTCTTCTGCTGCACCGGAAAGGTAAGTGTGTGTCATTTAAAGAAGCCTGACCTTAATGTATGGCTGGATCTGTAGAATAAATGTCATCCTGTGCCTTACAGAAGAGCTCAGCGTCCACATCTGCTGCTGAGTACAAGAAGACAGACGCGCCACAGCCAGATGTGAAGGAGGAAGCCGAGGAAGAGGAAGCCGAGGAAGAGGAAGCCAAGGAAGAGGAAGAGGAAGAGGAAGCCAAGGAAGAGGAATCAGGTCTGAAAGATAAACAACTTTTGTTAAATCTTTCTTAGTCAAATCCGACCAGTCACACAAGTTGCGTTCTTTGGTTGGAAGAGTTTTTAGTTCTAGTTCTGTTTACACTCTCCTCTCTTTCAGGGACTTGGGTTTGGACCTTATGATGGTTGAGCCGTTTTCTATAATTCTGTGTTGTTGTTCCCTCAGAAGCAAAGAAGAGTGAAGAAGAGGACTCCACAGGAGAAGCAGAGGAGGCCGCAGAGAACGACAACAAAGACGACAGTACATCCAATGAGGTAGTGCATCTTATGCTACTAGAAACACATAGGAAATGTTACATTTTGAGACTTTATAAGCAAATGTTGTTTAGATTCTGTAGCAACATGAACATTTTTTTTTACTTAAAAAAAAAAAAATGAAGTCTTTTAGTAGGCACCTGGGTGTGGATTTGGAAGATCAGGTTTATTTTAGTAAATCAGTTTGTCGTCATCACATAAAAGTCTTCAGCAGCATTTTATGTGTTCATGTAAACTAGGGTGAGTTAGGTGTGTTTAAAGCCATTTAATTTTCCTAGATTGATGTTATCTGAATAGAGATCCTGATTTTGTTTGTTTTGGATAATGCGGTTTTTCCAAGGTTTTCTTTATTTTCTCTCTAATTTCTGATCGAACAATAATTGTTTCTCATAGGGAGAATAAGTTGTAAACATTTATACAGTGGCTAGTCTTTTTTTTCTTTTTCTCCCATTGCCCATGTAAAAATGTTCAGACAAATTACCTACTGTTTTTTTTTTTTTTCTTTTTTTGCAAACAAGAGGTTGTGTGGTAAATTAATTGCTGTCCAAATCCACGTTTATGAGATTACAAGATCTGATCAATCTAAAAGTTGTTTGCAAGCCTTTTTTGACCAATGCCAAGAACTGTACAGTAACTGTTGTGTTGCATTTTAAACATGGACACTTTTATTACTGAGATGCTGGAATCTGTTTACAAGAATGATCTGAAGTGACTGTTCCACTACGGTGACTGGGAGCTGTTAAGATGAAAATGGAACAAAATCATTTAAACAGGCCATTTAAATTGGCCGTTATTATGGCAGCAAGCAATACAATCCTTTCCAATCATCCTACTACTTGTCCGCTTGATCCTATTCCATCTCATCTCCTTCAAGCCATTTCTCCTGCCATTGTACCTGCACTCACTCACATCGTTAACACATCCCTTCACACTGGTGTTTTCCCTCAACATTTAAACAGGCTCATATAACCCCACTTCTTAAGAAACCCACTCTTAACCCAACTCTTTTAGAGAACTACAGACCGGTTTCCCTTCTACCTTTCATTCCTGATGATCCGACGATAGCTGCTCGCATCTCAGCATGTCTAACCTGGCTAAGACAGAACTGCTTGTGGTCTCAACAAACCCATCACTTTGTCAAAATTTCACCATCCAGTTAGGCTCATCAACCATAACTCCTTCAAAAAGATGTGATTGATGATAAGCTGAATTTCTCAGACCACATTGCTAAAACTACCCGGTCCTGCAGATTTGCTTTATACAACATTAGGAAGATCAGGCCCTTTCTTTACTACATATATGGAATAACCGTTTTATAAAAGCAATAAGCCCCGTGAAGCCGTGGTTTACAGTGAATTTATAACAGCCAAGGGGGTTTTAGGCACTCCGCCTCGTGTCATGCCTAACAACGCCCCTTAGCTGTTATAAATTCACTGTAAACCACGGCTTCTTATTGCTTTATTGCACACATGGTCACACACATTGTCAACCAAGTATTCTGGTCAAATGTTTGCCTTATGTAAATAAGGTTGTGTTAGGGTGTGTTAACTTATTTCTGATGATTTCCACATTTAAAAAATTGACATGCATTACTTGGAAATTTCAAATGCCAGACCGAAAACCATTTAAACCATAGTGTATCAGATTTCCTGTTATTAAATAAGACATTTAAATAAATGTTGAACATGTGACTGACCACGTGAGAAGTGCATGTCCAAGGTTTGTATAGGATTATAAAACTCACTCCTCCACGGTGAATAAAACATCATCTGAATGCACAAGATTTTATCACTGTTTGAAATTTGCCTTGCAAATTAGATTTTTGTAGACTAACCCCATGATAAGAAATAAATACCATCCAAGTAGGGCTTTACAGGTGATTGATTGAGAAATGCATTGCAAATTGTTTCCAAATATTAAAAAAAAAAAAAAAAACATTTGTTCACTGTTCACAAATTGTTCACAATTTTCTCTTGTGTAGAAATCAGAGGACGACATTCTGAGAAGGTCTCCCAGAAACAGGAAACCGAGAAAGGACTAATGGACTTCCTGAATCTATATATCCCAACATCCCTCTCCTCCCGCTCGCAGTCCTGCTCCATCTTTCCTCCCCTCACTCCCACGTCCCCTACTTCCCCGTTCTTCTCCATCCCTGCCGCCGTGATGACGGTCAGAGCGAAACAGTGCGGTCTGCCACTCGACCAGCAGCCAAACGAGCGCCTCCTCAAGCGGCCTTGAGGATGTCGATGGTTACTACAGTGATGATGACGCTCAAATAGCATAGAAACTTACTCCGTAACTAAAAATGAAACACTCTCTTTGTTACCATTCCTGAACTGTGCATCCGACGATCGTGTAAAGATCCCGTTCCTACTTTCAGCTGTCACACACACACACACTTCCAGACAGTGTTCCTGAAGCCTAACACATGACCACACTATGGCACACTTGGTATTGTAAGGTTTACAGGCCAACAGCTTTATTCCTTTGTTCTAGAATTACTCAAGAAGCCATAGGCGATTGATTGGATATATTCATTATAAACTATAAAACCGGCCAACTGGATATACACTAGGTTTTAACGTATAAATGAGATGTTTTCATTATTTTCTATTCCATGAGGTTCATCATTTTGTCGTGGCATCCAGTAAAAGGCCAGACCGTGACCTTAACGCAGCCAGACGTGGTGCACGCGCTCAGTAAGGTGTCCAGGGAGAATGCCAGGTAGATTCATAGGTTCTAGTGTACTGCCTTACTTGTAGGACTCAAGCTTCGCTAATATTTTTTTCTGTGAATGTACTGTGAGTTTTGTCTAATATGTTTTGATTTTGCTATTCAAATGGACTTTTTACTAAATCATGGATTGTTGTACAAATGTGTTTTCTGCTCTTGAACTGATGTAGATTCTAACCTGTTCAGCCCAATAACGGGACGATTGACGGTTTTTACTTTCTTGCCCTCATTGTGTTTTTTGTATGATGGTAACTGTGGAACCTTTTTATCTTTTCTCACTGTGATGTCATATCCTGTCCAGCCAATATTAGCAGCAGTAGCAGCTTCCATTTCATTGAACCAATTATGTTCACACCACGAAAGAACGAGGACTAAGTGACTGTTTAATGCAAGATATTTCCAATTTCGTATGTTTGAGGGTGAATCTCATGTCGCATTTCAGCCTGATGGAAAAGGAAAACAAAATAAGAAATTGTGCAAAACAGTACAAAAAATACCTTTATGTATAAATACTTCAGAAATTAAAAATTTCCCATGTTACGCTAACAAGAATGTGCATAAATAGGCTTCATTTTTATGTAAAATGTATTTTGTTTTGCATTTCTGGAGAAAGGTGAAATGTGACATGGACTTCACCATTGAAAACTGTTTTCTAGAAAGTGTCACTCAAAGAGAAAACATGAAGAAAAAAAACAAAGTTATAAAGTTATTTCCTCATCAGTTTCACACTGACTCCGCCCCTAAATATTTGACCCCAAAGATATGAAAAAGGCACTATTAGGGGCTTACCCTGATCTAAAGTAAACTAGTGTATTTTCACTAGTATTCTTGAAGTTACTTGTTTATACTCTCAGATTACACTCTCATCACTATTCCATCGAAGCAGTCTGGCGAGATGCCATAACGTGAGCTCTACCCCAAGACTAACGAAGAGTTGGCACTTTCAAAGGTAACTGAGAAAAACGAAATTCCACATATAGGCCGAAATCTGCTGCTCTGCTCTTAATATCTCATTTTGCTTTCTCTGATGGGCATCATCTCCAACTGTAAATGGCCTGTCTGTACACCTGTGTTTTGGGCTTTTTGTCTTTTCTTTGTCTTTTGGATTACCATCATTTCACAAATGTAGGTAATTAATAGTGTGGATGGATGGAAGCGTTGGATTGAGTGATTTACTGGCATCATAGAAGTTGTGAAACAGATCATGAGTCTGGGTGATGATTCTGGTCTTGCTGGGACGGTTTGGGGAAAATCCATCATGTTACTCACAAACTAAAATAAAATAATGATTTGAACGATTGATGCGTGTTTCTGTGTGATTTTTGATGTTTCTTGAGTGTGGAATTAGGGGTTTTTAACATGCTTTCTTTATTCTGAGGCATTCATCTGGTTAAAGAACATGTCTGGGTTGTTTTCTCCCCACTCAGAAGAAATAATGCTGCTTTTCTCATTGAGAGTTTTGCATTATGATATTTTTATGACACTTGATTATATTACATTTCCTTCAAAATGTATATTGCGGTAATGTAAATTCATCAGTTAAGTTAAAGTGTGATGTTTTGTATGTTATCATAGTATTTGTTTTGTTTAATCTTTGGGAAATGTGGAAGGGGAATGTGCTTAACTGTCATTAAGTGTGAATGCAAATAATATTAATGGCCTAAAAATAAAGGTCATTCTCCTTTGTGTAATGTGATATTTTATTTAGCTTGATTGAGGTGACATATTACCAGGAGTTTTTATGTGAAATTCACCCTGTTATGGGTTATAAGAGATCAACTATAAGAAAAACTTTATTTATTTTTATTTATTTTTTTGCCATTGGTGACAGGGTTCAGGCCTATCTGAGTGAGTGTATTGAGGACACACACACACACACACACAATCACGCTGGTCAGTGATTCAGTGTCTTGAGTGTCAGTCTCATTCTGAGAACTTGTATATGAAAAATGAATCAAAAATTGTCTTCTGATTTAGATAATGACGTAATAAAAAGAAATATAAAAATGTGATGTTGAATAAAAAGTGTTTTAATAACTTTTTTTCATTGCGCCACTGTACCTTGCTCATCAGTTTTTTCAAGTCCCAAAAGTCTTGACAGGTGTGCTTCCCCAGTCAGACATGTGTTGTGAAATAAGGCTCACGTGATGTCAGACTTGTATATTTGCATGTTTAATATACTGTAAAAGTGGACCTAGAAAGATATTTGGACGCTTAAGTCACTACAAAGGAGTTTGTTTGGCATGAAATAATAAAATGGTGATAAACCGTTAAAAATGAAGACAAAGGGTGATTAACTACACTAGTTTCTCTGCTTTGTGAACTTGGGAACAGACGTCATGCACTAAACATCACTTGTTGTTGTAAAAGCCATGCAGAAATCAAAAGTGCCAAATGTGGTGATCTAAAACTCAGGTCTGTCACTATCTTTCTGGGTGTTATCTGTGGCAGCTGTTGAGCCGTTGCTGTTGAGCTGTTGCTGCACACCGGAGAATTATATCCAAATGTATTGTGATAGCAGAGTGAGTTGCTTAATTCAGTTTTACACAAACAGTGCAGCCCATAGACTTGTGGTGGAGATTGAAAGCAAGTTGTAGTCAAGCAGGGTGTCAGAAAAGTTATGCAAAACTTCCTGTATTTTTTATGTTTTTATCACCCAAAAAATATAAACTGATGTATTATGAAAGGCGAATACCTCAGTCTAACCGAAAACCATCAAAATGAAAAGTAGCTGCGGTCTGGAAAAACATTTTATACCTCAGATCATAAACGCTTCACAACCTGCAATGCTATCTATCTATCTATATCTATCTATCTATCTATCTATCTATCTATCTATCTATCTATCTATCTGTCTGTCTGTCTGTCTGTCTGTCTGTCT